GTAAACTTCCATAACTTGGGTAACTTGGGTAATTATTATAGTCAACATACATGCAGATTACTGCGGGTGCGCCTCCCAGTTGCACAGATCATACTCTCCCTCCAGCAGCGTCTCAGAACGCGTTGCCTCTAGTTTCTCGACGATCCCTGGAGTTGGACGTTCGAATCCAGCGCGTGTCCAAGCTCGAATGCACTGCAGTGTAGCCAGTAATTGAGCTCCTATTTTGCGTCTCTTTGGCTCTAATAGATCACCGAGCTCGCTGAACAATCGCTCGCACTCGCAGCTGCTAGCAGGTATCGTTAGAACGTCAAACGCCAACCTAGCTAAGTTGGGATACTTTGGTTGTAGTTCAATCCAGTAACGGATAGGATCACAGCCTTGAGTGAACTGCTCGCGCGTCCATTTTGGCTCAAGCTTCTTCCAGCGTTGGAACTCGTCGATATCCTCGTCGTCGCTACTATCGTCGGCGTCAGCTATCGCGGCGATAGCGTCCTCGAGCGCGCTTTGTAGTGGCCTAGGAGTAGTTTGTACAGCGTTAGTTGGCTTGTATTGCTGCCAAAGCTGCTGAAAGGCTACGTTGTTGGCGTGTAACCACTCTGGCTTCGAGCGCCAGCTGCGATCGCAATATCGTTTGTAGTACGGATGGAGTATTGTTGCGGCGTAGTAAAATGGTGAGCTATCAAGCTTAGAGTAGTAGGTGTTGGCTTTAGCCCAGGCGGCGCGGAGGTTGATGGGTAGATGATCCTCAGGAGCGTTGATCTGTTCGTAGTTGACGTGATTATATAGTTTAACCCGCTGCTCAAGCTCGTGTAGTAGCGTTTCGAAGACCGGTATTACTGAGTATAGGGCGCCAAATTGACCTGATTTACCGCGCCCTTCAAGCTGTTTAGTGGCCTGCTTAAGTGGTTTCAACACCTCTGTATACTCCGATATCACCGCCCAATCTGCGGCTGTAAGGCCGTCTGACCGCATCCACTTTGGTACGTCAGGAACCCTATTGCCGCGCCTCTTAGCGATATCGTCGAGATTGCGCGTGTGCTGGATGTGGTAGTTGGCGTAATTGCTCACAGCGTGCTGTAGTTCAATGGCCCGCTCAAAGCAGCTATAGAATGAATTCCAACGCGTAACAACAGGCTTAATTGGCTCTAATATCGCCTTCTGATGGTTTGTGGGGAGTTCGGCGTTAGCAAGGAGCTGGAAACGGTTGAACAGATTGTACTGTTGGGGCGTTTTGATATAGTTAATCACATCGACAAGTACGCCTAACGGGCCATCTTTGCGCCAATTCGTCATCGATTCCTCTTCCTCTGCGCGCTCCGCTGCGTCGTTATCGTACGAATCTGGATTCTTACCAAATATAATAGCCTGGCCGATGAGGTTAAGTGTGTGAGGGCCACAGCGTAGACGCTGGTAAGCTGCAGTAAACCCGTACTGCCCAGCAAGATAGGTAACAGCTGTGTCGTTGGCGTACGCGTTATCAAGGACGAAACAACCAAGCCTTAGCGGCGATATCCCAAACTTCTGCAACGTTTGACCAACAACCTCAGCAATCCGCTTCCCAGTATGGGCGCCTGTTAACTGCGGCAGCGCGATAGGCATGTCGAAAACCGTCCCTGATGCGTCAGCGTAGTGCGCAACAATCCCAAAGAAGCCCCGCCTGCCTCCCTTTGTCGTCCACCCATCAAAGCTTATATGGATTTTGCTAATAGCTTTAGATAGCGCAGTAACAACTAGTGGTAACATGAACTCATATAGCCGTATTGCATACGCCTTAACGCTGTTAGCGCTCGTCCACAACGCACTCTCTGCTTCAGGGCTTGCGAAGCCAATCATCGATCGGAAAGCAGGTGTTTCAAGCTCGTGGAGAGGGTGGTTGTTCTCAATAAGCCACGTAACAGCTGCGTAGCGGAAGGCCTGTACGTCGAAGTTGCCTAGCTCATTAACTAGCTCCTGGCTGATTGCTACACCAGATCCAGTCACCATCGCAAGCGATCGCTGGCCAAATGCTCGCTTTGTCGCTGCTTGTAAGCCGCTTTTTGTGAAGTTGTGGCCTGCTTTCGGTTGCTTAAGGTGAGTAATCGCGGATGTAGTTGACTGCGTAACCTTAAGGACACCATCGTGTGAGCGACGCTGATGGCAGAACTTGCAGATAAAGTAGATCTCATCAGTGTTACTGCGCAGCGCAACTCGATATCCATGGTTGTATATCCAGCTTTTTTGGCGCTTCTGTGAGCGCAGAGGCTTGCAAAAGCGCGACAATCGACTCCAATCAATGCCGTCAAAGTTGTCGAGGAAACGCTCATCAAACGAGCTATCGACCTCGCGATTATCGTTAGCGGCGCTGGCTACCGTGGCAGCGTTGGAACCCTCGATAGGCGGTACAATAGCCTCGTTAGGCACGGCGTTAAGCAGCAACGGGCTCTCGAAAGGGTGCTGTTCGGTGGCCTGGGACGCTGCGTCGGCCAGAGCTTTGCGTAGTGATTGCCGCTGAGGTAGCTTAGGTGCTGATATTATCGACGAGCTATGCTGAGTATCAGCTAGCTCTAACGGCTGCGTATTAGTACCTGTACCGCGGGTGACGCGCACGCGTTTGGCGGGCTGTTCAGCAAGTCCTGCGCTACGTTTAGTACCTTTAGCGGCTCGTTGAACAGGCATAGAAGGCAGTAAAAATCAATGATAACACAGTAGCTCGAAAAGACTGTAATAACACACGCTGATATAACAATAGGTGCAGAAGTAGGTAGTAAGTGTTAACGCTACGTGTTGGGGCGCGTAAGCTAACTACGTACCGTATCGTAAGCATAGGCCCACCTACTGCAACACCAAAAATCCCATCACAATTTTATTTTCCTGCAACAACAAAAATCTTATTAGGTTACTCAAGTTATTCAAGTTTACCAAGCAAGTTTTCTAGGTAAACTTGACTTGCTTGATGTTTTTATGTAGATGAACTTGACTTGCTTAACTTGGTGCCAAGCCAAGTTAAGCAAGCAAGGCTTGCAAGTTACTTGCTTGTTGCGAACTCTGGTAACCCAAACCCGACTTCAACATTCGAGAAGATCGAAGTGCTCGAATTCCGTAGCATGAATCGAGTGGCGTGAATCAAAGGCAACGCATTTCCCTTCCTTCTTAGACTCTAATTGAAATCCTGCAACTATCGCGAAGAAAGTCACTAAAGAGGGGTTGCACCCTAGCCAAGCCAAGCCAAAAATAAAATTGTGGCTTGAAGATTCCGCTCTCAGATGTTGGCCTGGGCAATACACAGGGTATCGATCCAAGACCATACACGTGGGAACTTTCTAGTCGCAATACGTGGGAATAAGCACAGATCGGGTCTTGCGCAGAAAATCTTTCCGTCGATGAGAATCATCGGACACGAGCCTTGGTCCCCAGACATAAGATAGGCGTGTATAGTCCGCTTCCGAGATTGCCGTGTGTGCCATCTGGCATTGTACTAGGCCATCATCAGATCGGGATGACAGGACCTTGATTGACCGGAGCGACTATTATGCATAGTCTAGAGGGAGTACGAGCAAATACTTCTAACTTCGACGCAGACTGTATCTCTACGGAAAGGGGCAATGCCATGGTGTTGCTGTCGGATAACAACATGGGATACCACTAGCTGCTAGTGCGGCGGCGGCGGCGGCGTGTCGATCGCAGGTAACCGCTTGTAGAAATTTCGTAGGTCTTGGAAGATGGGCTGTCAAACTCATAGCTTAAGAACACCGTGATACCATGACTCTGGTAAGTTACACGAGGCGACTGGGCACTGTGAAGTCATTGGCTATAGAGTTCCCGCGGAGTGGTGACCAGATGCCACTGCCAAGATAAAGTGGTCTGCCACATGCTTAGACCCCAGAATGAATATCGATGGTGTTGTTGTTAGCGGTCGCTTTGGCCTCTTTCATGACTCCCAGTGCGCTCGCCTGGAGGCGAAGTTCGGGAGTTCAAGAATTGCGCCATATGCACCCCACCTCGAAATTCGCTTCCTAGCGTCCACGCAACCTTCCAAGAATGCTAGGAAACGGCCATTCAGAGCTGTGCTGATCATAACAAAGTAGGAGAGGGTTGCCTCTTGATATGCGCATGGTAGAAAGAAGAATTCACGCGTGTGAATCCTCGATGGTCGCACATTATTGCAGATTGGAGAAGACCGGCGTCGCCTGCGGGATGCGGAACTCAGGATCAGCGCTGCATGATTATGTCATTGGACAGCGCGCACTCTAAGTCAGCGCCCTTCCAGAGCCCTGGGCTCTTGCAGCTGTAATCGCATGAAGCTTTAAGCCATGTCAAACAGCCTTGTCGGTGGGGCGAATATTCATGCTCGTACTGGTACTGGGGGCGGTAAATTATCATTTCACACATGTTCATTCTTCCATGACCATGAACCCGCTATTCTTCATGGGCCTTTTCCACTCAACTGTTTGCGCGAGCCGCTCATCGCGTTTTGGGAGCCAAGTTAGGGAACAAGGATCTTCATCTCGGGCCTTTTATGGGGTCCTTTTGGAACGAACCTGTAGCTAACACAAGGCTTACTAACGACGAGCACTACCCGGGTCCCCTACCGACGACGTACCCTTGAGCCGTCCCGGATACCTCCCAACAGGGGGCCATAATCCCAGGAGCCGTTCTGGAATTCGACGAAAAATGGAGCTATGTGGGTCGCCCACCTAGGCAGTCCCACAAGACCAATGTCAAGTTATTCCATGGTCTGGGGCGGCTCCTAATGTGGCACGGGAGATCATCGATAACAGACTGATATGCGTCCAATTCCTTCCTCTTTCGAAGCCCCATCGGATGCTACCCTCCGGTTAACCGTGCCTCGTTTTTGCATGCGATGTCGTGAAGAACACTCGCCTTCGCACGACTGGCAGATATAGTCCCACCAGACTCTCTTTCTAGTCGTTCATTATCTTCGCAAACCGTTCCTTTCTCCATCGTTTCTTCATCCCCCACTTCGTGCCGTAGGAGTAGGTGCCCATGAAAAAGGGTCCAGAATGACTTATTACGGTGATAAAGCACCCAACCTCGCTGCATCAGTAATTGCGTTGGTCGCCATCGCATACATCACCTTCGGTTTGCGAGTTTACACAAGGCTACACAATGGAGCTTGGGGTCTCGACGATTGGTCTATGACCGCAGCAACTGTAAGCCACACTTAACGGCCTCATGCGATGGTAATCATGCTGACAATGAACCACTCAGCTTCCCTTCACAGCTCTGACAATATCGTGTATTGGTGGCGCATTCAACGGCGTTGGAGTTCACGATCGCAGACTCGGTCCAGATGAGAAAGTTCAAGGGATGCAGGTATGCGCTCTTTGACAGAGCCATCAATCAGTACTAACATGCCCAGTACTTCTTCTTCTTTGAAGTCTTCTACTGCGCCGCAATTATCCCCATCAAACTTAGCATCTCCTTCATGCTCATCCGTATCGCCTCGCGGAGAAAAACGTACATATACAGCTTGTATGCCGTGTCCGCCATGTTCATCGTCATGAACCTCATCGCCTTGCTGTACATCATTTTCCAGTGCGCTCCTGTGTCTTACGCTTGGGATACGTCGACCCCTGGTGGAAAATGCAACCCCGCGCAGACGCTTGCGGACATATACTATGCAACAACGGCGATTAACATCGCTACGGATTGGTTTTGCGCGCTGTTGCCCATACCACTACTATGGAATGTGCAGCTTAACCGTAATGCCAAGCTTTCCGTCGGCGTGATTCTCGGTCTGGGAGCATTGTAAGTTTCCACTCACTTATCTAGCGAACATGATCACTCAACTAATGCGCCACAGAGCAAGTCTGTCAGCATGCATCCGCCTCATTTACACAGTAAACCTTACCAGCTCGACGAACTATCTTTGTAAGTTTCCTTCGACTTCCGCTTCTCAGACCCACACTAATTGCCCCAACAGACGGTGTCGCAGATGTGATTCTCTGGGGTTACGCTGAGAACAGCGTCGGAATGATCGTAGGCTGCGTAGCTACACTTCGTCCACTCCTGCAGCGCGTTCTCAAACTTGGAAGCAGCGGCGGCACAAATCCACATCAAACGCCCGCAGCAGGCTATGCGAAACGCCCGATTTTCAAGAGCCACATCAATGGTAGAGACGAAGAATGGGTCTCACTGGAAGATAATCAGATGGTAAACATGGTACATGGACAAGGTAGCTCAGGAAGTGACGAGTACATACTACCTGTGAAGGGTAGTGGGATTCATGTTACCAGCACGGTGGAGCAAAGATCGAGTTCTGCGAAAGACTAGGAACACCAAGATGAGCAATACGTTCTCATGCACATATACCCGGGCACTCAGTGGGAAAAAAAAAGTATATACACGTTGTCAATACGACCGATCTAATGTACATATCTCATTCACTCAAAGTATCTTTTTTTTTTCGTTACTTATGTGCGCCACCGGCATCTAGAGTGTCTGTGCGCGTGCCGCCCACCCCAACCGCCTCACGCAGCATAGAATAATGAAGTTGTAGAGCCACACACAACAGCAACTATCACAAGAAAAGTCGGACAAGTACTTTATTGACTATTGCGATCAACTTCCTGGTTTAAACTTCTTGCGTGGAGCGATTTTGCGGCCACGGCTGTTGTATGTAGGTGGAGGTGTTGGGGAACGCGCCGCAGCAACAAAACGACTACGGGCAGCTACAGCACTACGATTTTGCTTCTTTCTGGGTGCTGTAGACGGTGGGGCTTTCCGCTTGCCTCTTTCGGGCAATTGTATAGCTTTTGCAGCGTCGCGCTCTTGCGTTTGACGCTCTCGTTCGGCTTTGCGTTTAGCTACTTCCTCACGCTTCAGCTGGGCTCGCTCAGCAGCTTCCTTTCTCCTTGTTGCAGCAGCAGCTCTCTTCTCAGCATCAAGCTTCTGCTTCAGCTTCCTATTAGACTCACGAAGCTCTCGCTCAGTGTGTTTGCGGAGCTCATCATCCTTCTCCTCTTGCTCAAATACGTTCTGAAAGTGTTGAGCCTCGTTGACACCCCGGGGAGAGTACCACTGTGTCTTTGAACGAGTCTCTTTGCGCTGCATAAGCGGCAGAGGCATCGAGCTTGGTGTAATACGCGTCGAGTTTCGCCCATGCTGCGCATAGGTTGATAGGAAGGGTGGTCTTCAGGCGCGCCGTTAGCATTGTAGTTAACGCTGTCGTAATTTTTTAGCAGCTGCTCGTACACAGCAAGCACAGCTTCGAAGACAGGTATAACCTCGTATATCGCGCCAAAACGGCCAGCTTTACACCGAGCTTCTAGGCGTTTTGTCACCTCCTTTAACGGCTCTAGCACTGATATATACTGTGTTATCATTGCCCAATCGTCAGCCGTAAAGCCATTAGATCTCATCCAAGCTGGCACTTTAGGGAGCTTGTTGTTACGGCTACGCGCGTACGCGTCAGCTCCCATCGTCCTTTCAATATGGCCTTGGGCGTACTCGTTAACAGCGTTGTGGAGTTTTGCGGCGCGGACAAAGGTGTCGTAGAAGCTGTTCCAGCACGTGACGACTGGCTTTACAGGCTCAAGTATGTCCTGCTTTTGGTCGGGAGCTTTAGGTCGGCCAACGCGCGGAACACCACACATGTGACCCGTTTTCATCCCAACACGGCACAACAACGATGACAGGTATTGAAGAAGCAGTTGCAGAAGCAAAAAGTACACCCCCAGGTGAGAAAATCCCATGGACAAAAATAGCTAGAAAGCATAGTGTTGTTCGCTCAACTTTGACGCGCAAAGTAGAGCTTGGTACGCGTTCCCACCAAGAGGATGCGGTAACACGTCAGAACCTCAGCCCACAGGAGGAGGCAGAGCTTGTAAAGTACATAGATAAGCTCACAAAAGAACACCTTCCACCTACAAGAGAGATGGTTCAAAATTTCGCCTCAGATATCGCTGGGCATCAGGTCTCCGAGAGCTGGGTATCGCGCTTCCTAGACCGTCACAACGATGAGCTTACGTCTCAGTTCACCACATCTATGGACCGGCAACGTCACATCGCTAAATCTGGTGAGAATTACAAGCTGTACTATCGACGCTGCGCGACAAGATTGAGTTCTACAAGATAGAGCCTGCGCACACATACAATATAGACGAGAAAGGCTTTATGATTGGAGCTGTTGGCAGACAAAAGAGAATCTTCAGCAAGTGTCAATATAAGAAAAAGACGTTTAAGCAGATGCTCCAGGATGGCAACTGTAAGTGGGTGAGCCTTATAGCATGTGTGAGTGCGGATGGATCTGCTCTTCTTCCAGGCCTCGTATATGCGGCTGAATCTCAGAACATTCAGAGCACCTGGGTGGAGGATGTGAAGGTGAGAGAACATATGGCCTTCTTTGGAGTATCGCCTAGTGGCTGGAGCAACGACGGCTTAGGCCTTGCCTGGCTGCAACAGGTGTTTCAGCGCTTCATTGCACCTAAAGCTCGAAGAAAGTACCGCCTACTGCTATTAGATGGCCATGGGAGTCACCTAACAGAAGAGTTTTTGGAGTATTGTCACAGACACAAGATCCTTGTGGGTATCTATCCACCTCATAGCACCCACACGCTTCAGTCGCTTGACGTGGTGATGTTTAAGCCTCTCAGTACATCATACTCAAAGAAGCTAGGAGAGCGCCTCTTCAAGCACAAAGGCCTGGTACTGGTGAAGAAGTCTGACTTCTTCTTGCTATTCGGGATGTTTGGGTGGCTAGCTTCACTGAACCAAACATACTCAGCTCTTTTAAGGCAGTGGGTGTGAGCCCATTCAACCCTAACGTTATACTCGATAAGTTCGTGGATAGCGACTCTGAGACTGCAGAAGATAGCGACTCTGACGCTCCTATCTATGAGGGAGAATAGTGGAGGTTTCTGGACCGAGTAGCAAGGCGTGCGTTAACGGGTGCAACAGAGAAGGAGGCATCAATCATTCGGCAATCGCTTCACCACATGGCTATCCAAAACACCCTTTTAAGGAGTGAAAATGAAGGTCTAATAGATGCTCTTACTACTAAGAGGAAGCGAGAGAAGCAAGGCAAGCCTCTAGCTTTGCTACAACACTATGAGTACTGGGGACCGTACATGATGTGGACTACTCGCTCCTTCCGAGAAGCGCGCACACGGATGAGGATAGCAAAACGTGAGGCGGAGGAGGAGGAGCTTCAAAAAGAAGAGGCAAGAAAGCTAAAGGCTGCTACTACAGCTTACAACAAGCAAATTGCAGAAGAGAAGCGCCAGAAAGCAGCAAGGGAGAAGGAAGAGCGAGAGAGAAAGCGTGCAGAAGAGCGCCTAGCTATTGATGCGCGCAAAGCTGAGAGAGCACGCAAGAAACAAGAGCGCGACTCTCAAAACAGATTACAGACTGCCGCAAAAGGCAAGCGCAAGGCCTCACAGCAACAAGAAGTAAAAAAGAGGCAGAAACGTAGTTCTACGGCTGTGCAGAGTGGTAGTGTTGTCCATAAGCCGCCTACAGCACCTGCACCTACAGTAAACAGCCGCGGCCGTAGAATACTTCAGCCACGCAAATATTGGTAGCAAAATTTGTCGCATAGGCCTATAGATCACTCCACCAAAAAATCTGGTCAAGATAGCTTTTGTACGTGGCTCAATAACCTCAAGTTTGCTGGTGATGGTTAGGGCCGATTCCGCGCATTGGCCGACGGCGCGCGTTGGCCGACGGCGCGCGTTGGGTGCACGGGCACGGTAACGAGAGATGAGATGAGAGGAGTTCCTGCGGAGAAACCTAGAAACCCAGCTTTCTGAGACGGGTTTGCCAACTATAGATGATGCAAAGTTGCGTACCATTGTACGTGAAGGTGGTGTACGTCTTTCAGTAAGCGGTTTGATATACTGTATACGCTCTAGCTCCTGATGTGGGTGAAGGGAGAGGTTGGTAAGCGTAGCTGGCTTGTATTGACCCTGGTGCCTCCGCGTCAACGTTGAGCGTACTACACCATACTTTTTCGCGATGTGAGAATATGAGAAAGATGCACCTGGTTCACGCGATTCGATTTCTTTAATTGCTTCCTGGATCGGATCCATATTGGTGGAGTCATGACGCGATTTGTATAGGTGGTGGTTGTGGTGGGGTGCGCAAAGTTCGACCATGCGCATCGCACGCACAGACACGGTAGCGCCACCCAGAACGGTAAACTGTGTTTCGCTACGTGACGCGCGCTTATCATCCGATTCTGCAGATCTCATCTTGTTGACCAGCTCGAACTACACCGTAGCTGCCTACGCGCTCTACGTCCATCTTCTACGCCTAACACACCGTCCATCTGATCCAGTAGACCTGGTATCTGCAACCTCTCGCTCAAGCTTCATCTCCATCGCCATCCACTGATGGCACATTGCAACGTCCATCTGTTCGCACTGTTTGCTCCAAGATTGCGACGCGCCCGCAGCCGACCGCTTAATCTACGCATGCGATTAAGGGTCAGTACTCACGGTGACACACAACAGTCGGAAGGTATACGGTGTTGCGAACGGCACAAGATGCACCTCCGGTGCAAAGAGGGACCTTGCGTCTTCCCATCACTCATACCCGTCGTCGCTGAGTGTTCCCTCTGTCCTTCACAGCCTGCCTCTCCTCGCATCATATTGCCTCCGAGGGCCGTACTAGCACCCTTAGCTTTGTGATCATTCTATCTCGAATTAACCGAGTTAATCAAACGAAAGACGCCCGGATGTTATACCTGCAAACGCACTGTTCGTGCCACAAAGAATCACAAGCTGCGTGTATGCGGAAGGTGTTGGCCGTGCCTCTCGAGTATCTACACTTGCCGAGGCCGAAACGGCTTATCTACGTTAAACATTTGTGAAGGTCGAGATATGGGAGACGTAGATCCGCAGTGATTCAGTGTTGCGACACGGTCACAAGTAATACTCAAAATGGTGAAATAGGACATGTAAGTTAAATATACTCACATGCGGACAAAGATCACCTTTGACGTTTGCGTGAAGCCCTTTTCTTAGTCCGCACTGCAATTCTGGGCTTGGCTCATATGATAGTCTCTTCGAAGGAACCTTGCAATTTCGATGCATTGTTCCAAACTAATCTTAACTTCGAACATGAACACTCATCATCCCATCTTTCCATGCACAGCCCCTAAAGCTTCCAGATTATCAAAGAAGTAGGAGCAAGAACCATAAGCAAGTACAGGAATAGATCCAACTCCCTATGATAACGCAGGTTATCATGCCGCAGACGGCTTCTCACGCTAAAACACGTTGTGTCCGACCCAGGAACCCCTCATGTCAGGTACGACATATTCCTCCAGCTTTATTGGTCTGCAATTCTCCAGTCCATACTCCTCATCCTCCTTCCCCCCAGGATTGACTGTTGTGAAGCTGAATAGCCCACTGCGCTTTCTCTTGTTATGATCCGAGAACCCCGAGCGATCGTATTGTGACTTGATCTTGGGACCATTGCTGGATGCGCGTGTTGACCAGCCGAGACGGTCGGACGCCAGACGATATAATGGACGCAGGGTAGCAAGCGAACCGGCGGTTATGGCAAGACCTTGTTCGACGTCGGACCAGATTGCGATGTCGACGGTGTCGTAGAGGAAATCATTGGTTACAAACTTCATTACGAAGCCCATGCGCACAATGACTGCTATACTGGCCCTATAGACATCATCAGCCCACGATCTCAGGTTCAAAGACATATCGGAAGACGTACACGCAAGCCATACTCAAAATAGGAATTAGCGCAATCTTTGAGTTCCTGCTCATATTCAGATCCCACACCAGCACAATGGGCAGCAATCCAAACGTGAAGTCGCATATCGCCGAGATAACGCTGTACAGATACGTAAGACCAATAATGACGTAAATGTTAATGCACGATCCATCGGCGCCGAGCGCCTGGCCCCAAAAATACGAAATAGGCATACACTGGAAGACAGTGACGAAGAGAAACACGATGCCGGTGAGCACTGTGAGACCCATGACGGTGTAGATGATCCAGTGATGAATTTTCTTAGGAGTGATGCGCAAGAGGAAGAGGCCTATGGAGATTTTGGCGCCGATCATGGAGAGGCAGTATGCGATGTAGCAGAGCCACCAGTACTGGAGTCGATTAGTCGCGATGCAACTTCGAGCGGTGGGTCTGCCAACGTACCCTCAAGGCTTTGTATATCCCCTCAGGCGAAAGGTCTTTGAAGTGTCGTCCAGTGCCGTAGTGTACACCTGCGATGGCGCAAGTTGCGAACATAATGTGCATGAGCTTTGGATAGCAGTCAGCATCGAACCTCGACACTCGTAGCGAAAAGCCAATAGCATACCATTGCGAATATCATCCACGCGTCGTCCCATCCGAATGCCTTCAGAAGTCGGATGCGCACATATACTCTCAACACCATGGCCACAAAGGCCATCGATACCATCCATGATACTACCTTTCTCCTTGTCAGGCACTTTCAATCCACAATAAGCTGTCCCATACGTACTCCCTGTAACTGCGGACCCCGATTCTCGATCATGTTGGAATCAGGTTCAGAACAATGCCAATATAATCAAGTGTGGGGCAGCATTCTCTTGAAGGGCTGATGGGAAAGACTCAAAATTGGGAAGCCCCATGCTAGGGTTCCTGCATGGGTAGGCACGGTCGTTGCGGGAAAGCTGACGACTCGTTAGGGGAGGAAGGAAAGGAGTCGTTAAACCAATCTATCCTAGCGTTACGGAATCAACCCGCGTGTTAATCATTAGTATCGTGATGATAACACCCTGTTTCTAGGTGTAATTGCTGAACGTAGCGCAACATGTGCTCGTGTGCTTCGGAAGATAGGATACCTTGGCGGCCTGCCTTGTCTTGAGTAACATCGCAGCTCCTTCTACAGCAAATCTTGGGAGCCCAATTAGTACACCTGGAAGGAATGTATGCCGACAAGGGAAAGAAAACGGATTAGACAATTTTAGAAAGTTTCGCACGTAGCTTGGCAGGAGGTCCAGACACTGGGCCCTGTTAAGACAACATGCAAGACACAGTTGAGCTATCGATCTCGATGATCAACCAATTGCTGAGAACCCCGGATGAAGGATAAGGGTGCAGGTACCGCACGAACCTTTAGATGCACCCCGTACAAAGACATGGAATAGCATGCAGATCATCTGACAGAGTAGCTTAGCGCTATGCAGGCGCCGCACAGGTGGTGTCATCTCACTCACGTGCTGTGTGCTTCGAGAAGCCAACGTGGCCCCCGGGATTAGTTGCATGCGCTTGTCGCTGATCGACTCGCCTCTTTCTGAAAGATCTCCACAGACGAACGAGGCCAAAACATGGGATAACGCCGCCATCCCGCCCTAGCGGCGCCGCAAAGATGTCACCTACTGGGGTCGGAGACGGTCGCTGCAAACAGGCAACATCCGTCGAGCCGTCGTCCTTCACTTCCCGCGCTCCCCTTTGCGCTAAAACGAATATGTCTATGGTACGCGGCCTAGTTTTTAGTTGGAGGAGCAAGCAACATGCGGTGAGCGCCCTTGATACAGCATGCTGGGACATCTCCTGGAGACTTGGATATCGTGTGAAAAGCACAGAGTGTAGTTGAGGACGAGTCAGTCTCGTGACACCACTGCAAGCAGCCCCGTCACGGCGCTCTCTGCGACAACGTGGTGGAGAGTGTGCGACTGTGACCGTCGATCGCCTCCAATATTGCTAGCAAATCATCCCGCACTCCATGCTTCGGTTCGCCAGTGGCTGCAGCCATGTGTATCACCACAGACGGACCGTCTCTAATACGGAACAGATTTTTCAAGAATTGCAGTCGATTGAGTTGTCGGTTAAGTATACATGGCTGCTGAGAAGTAGTCAAGTCACCGCCATTGTGGGTGGCGTTAAACAGCTTCTGCTGCACGAGGCGCTTGGCTCGCTTCCGAATTGACTTTTCATCAATCAAAAGACCGCGGGGCGATATGGTGCTATCGCTTAGTTGGTTGCTATGGCCTGCGACGGTACCAAGTGTCCGGTTCATTTTACGCAGGCGATATTAGAGGGTGGACAATTGCGGGCAGGTTTAAAGCGTGCAAAAGGTGCAGAATCGTGTCTGGTTCGTCTCATTTTCGACTCTTTCTGCATCCTAGCGTCCGCCGTTCCCAAGCTTCACCCCCTGCGTAATCCTTCATCAGCCCGATTCGTATTGTCTCGACGCCCTAGTGCTGCGCTCCCTGCACGAAGCGACGAAAGATATAAGCTGCAGTAGATCTCCGGAAACCTCAGCGCCAGAACCCGACATCTGGTCTGAACCGACCTCTTGACAGACTCCAGTGTGTAGCAACCTCTGACCAGGCCGCCGATCGGGAACTTGATGGACCGTGCAAGTATGGTACACGGCAGCGTTAAAGAGCGCGAGGCATTCCAACACCCACAACACTCGACCTACTACGAACAACCGCAGTCTCGCGGATGCCCCGTGTCAGGTGTTATCACTTCCTCATACCCGGTACAAGCTTCAACACAACAACAACAACAACAACAACAACAACAACAACAACAACAACAACAACAACAACAACAACAACAACAACAACAACAACAACAACAACAACAACAACAACAACAACAACAACAACAACAACAACGTCCTCAGTTGCCGCCCTCGCCACCCGCGGAGGAGAAGAAGCCTTCACTACCACCAATCTCGAGTCTATTCGAATTTGCTGGAAATGAGAAAGGTGCTTCTGAAACAGGTAAACATTCATCATTGCACTTTCCCTAGCCATGCCGCTAACCACCGTCGCAGCTTCCCAAAGTCCTCAGTCACAACAGCGCCAATCGTCATCGCCGCAAATCAGGCAAGCACAACAGAGCGGGGCAGGAGCGATGCAGCAACCATCACAACCACAGACCAGTTGGCCAGACCAGTACACCACCTACGCCCAATTGCCTGCGCCGAATAACCTCAGGATGACACTGCCTCCTACGCCACCAATACGCCCAGACATTGCGCATGACGGTAACCAGTCGCTATCAGCTGCACCAAACCGCTCCGCCGTATCCGCACGTTACTTTGGCGGTGGGTCGCGCAGTAATGTAGAGCCCCGCCAGAAAAGACAGTCTATCTCGTCAGTGCCTCTAATAAAGCAGGACTCATTACCATCGCACTCCATGTTACCTTACAGTGCCTTCATCTATGGCCAGTCCTCGTACCAGTCGTCACCGGGCGCTGCCTCTTCGACATCATTCTACTCGCCGGGGCAGCATTCGTACAACAGTGCCGCCATGTATGCGCAGCGTCCGCTTCTCTCAAACTTCCAGCCCCATACGATGCCTCTGCCTGCACCTGTACCCAGCCCGGCCGCCAACGGCTCGAACTCGTGGCAACACCACCACTACATACGCATTTCTAGCCAGTTCCAGTTTCCGCAGTCTCAGGACCGCTACATCTGCTCGACTTGCAACAAGGCTTTCTCACGGCCGAGCATCCTACGCATTCACAGCCATAGTCACAGTGGTGAAAAACCTTACAAATGCCCGCAGCCGGGTTGTGGCAAAGCCTTCAGTGTCCGCAGCAACACGAAGCGACATGAGCGCAGTTGTCGCGCAGCTTCGAGCAGTTGACGACTGGCCACAGGACTCAATCTGGCCTCTACCCGTGCCATGCTGGACTTCTTCATCCACAGTGCGAGCGCCTTGGCCGTTGACTGAATTGGAAGTGTTGGAAGTAGAACTTGTGTGGTGATTAGACACGATCGGTTTGAAGATGGGTTTTTGTGCCGTGAGCGCATGCCATGAAAACAAATCATCATCTTTATTTCACTGCTTCTTAGGCCACGAGCGAGTGCAATTTTCAGTAAACGAAGGCAGGATCGCCACACTGAGGTATGTACCTTGTCTGACGTGCAAACAATAGGATACGATCCTTGAGAAAGAGACTCTTCAACACACAATCCGGTACATCCTCCTGGTCTCGAAAAGTAGAGTACGAAAGAATGCGGGCTTACAACGAGTGCACCGAAAGTAATAGGCGCGGAGCGTATCAGCAGACACTATGCTACTGCCGAAAGGAGACGGGAATCAACGGGATATCGAAGGTGTCGAAGGTGTCGAAAGAGACGTGAGCTGATCAAAGGAAATGTGCCAAGCAGGATGAGGCATGATGGCTTTGAGAGGTTGAAGCAGTGGAGAATGGCTGCGGGCCATTATACTGACGTCTACGACCGTCCTCGCGCTCAATGTCCTTCTCATCGCCCACAATCACGCCTCCCCTCTATATTGTTACGATCAGCCCGTCTGCAGAAGCGGCAAGCTAGTGCCATGTCCTTGCATTACACCAAGACCTTCGTTCCATACCGCTATATCTTCAGTCTGTATAGATGCCTGTAAGAATGAAGGGGCTTGCAGACCACATCGCTCTTAGGGTGCGGACTGAGGCGGGATCCAAAACGCATGGGCTATCTGTACACTAGTGCTATCGAGCGAGGCAGAGAACGTTCCGTCTAGTGCCCACAGAATGGCCTTTCATGTTATATGGACCTGTTTTGGGCCCAGCGATGGCGCTGCTGACGTTGCTCGTAAGATAGAAAAACCGGAGGCTGAGCGGGGTAACGTTAATGCCAAGTATCGTGTCACGCGGGAGACGTTAGTCCAGAAAATCTAACACACTAACTACAGTAGTCCATGGGCAAAGGAAGATGGAACTCTAAGTTGGTGCTCAATTGAGGACCTTGAGAAGCGTGAAAGGGGCCGAAACCGGAAAGGAGCCGAAAACGGGCTCTACCGTGTCCGTGCACTCAACGTGCCTGTTCAGTCAACGCGCGGCTTTGCACCCCAACAAGCACCTGCAAAACTAAGGCTATAGAGTCACACACAAAGGCAATAATCACAGGAATTTCTAGTAGAATACTCTAAATACCTATGCGAAAATCTTATACTATCTATATTTGTGCGGAAGCTTGATGTTGCGGCCTCTTGTGGACTGTTTGGGCGGAGGAGATGGGGAGCGCACGGCAACAGCTGCACCGTCTACATCACCCACAGCACTACGCTTCTGCTTCTTTCTTGGTGCTGCTTCCTGTAAAGCCTTGCGCTTGCCTCTAGAGGGCTTTTGTATAGCTTCTCGAGAGTCGCGAGCTGCCTTGTCACGTTCTCTTTGAGCCTTGCGTCTGGCAACTTCTTTGGCCTTCTCAGCCTTCAGCCTGTCACGCTCTTCCTTCTCCCTTACTCGTTGCTTACGTGTATCCTCCTTATCTTTCTCCTTGAGAAGCTTTTGTGTATGCTGTAGCTCACGTCTAGTAACTTTCGCAGCTTCTAACTCCTCCTCATAGCGTTGCTGTGCATCCCATCGTGCATCTGCCTCCCGCTTTGATGAAGGAGACCACCACTTCGCGCCACCATGCCACTCTATATCGTGAGACATTAGCGGCAGAGCCCGCTGCTTATCCTTCACCCTCTCTTTCTCAGTTAGAACCTCTTTTGCGCCGTTGAGCTCGTACCTAAGCAGCGCATTCTGCACTGAGAGGTGATGGATGTACTGCTCTAGCGCCTTTCTAGCTACACGATCATTATCCTTTGTTGCAGACCGAAGTAGCGACTTTGCTTTTAGCCAAGAGGGCTCTCCAGTGCTAGGATCAAGCACTTGCTGCTAGGGCGTTGCTGGCTGTTCTGGGGTCGCTGTTTTGAACCTATCAAGGATAACGTTGGCGTTGGGTGGGTGTATGCCTGTGGCGGAGAACACCTTAACTATCAGCTGTTCGGTGAAGGTAGATTCCCAAGCCTTCCAGAATAGAGAGAAGAAATCGCCCTTCTTTGTTGGTGTCCATCCCTGGGTCTTCTGAGTGCGAAGATCAAGCTCATTGGCGTAGTTTTGAGCCAGAGGCTTGAAGCAGACTACGTCAAGTGGCTGCAGTGTGTGGGTGGCATGTGTGGGAAAGATCATCAGGAGAATCTTGTTGTTGTCGCAGTAGGTGACAAATTCTCTCGTTACATGGCTGCCGTGGCCGTCAATGATAAGCAACCTCCACTTTCTTCTGTTCTTAGCAGACTTGCCAACAATCAAGCCAATCAAGCCGGTCTAGCCTAATTTAGTAACATCTTAACCTACAACAGCTAGTGAATTACTATATTGGGCTAGACCGGCTTGATTGGCTTGATTGTTGGCAAGTCTGGTTCTTAGGCTTAGTGTAGCGATCAAACACTTGCTCAAGCCAGGTTAATCCAAGGTCGTTGTTCGTCCAGCCATTAGGTGATGTAGTGAAGTGGACAGAATGCTTCTTTGGGTCTATTTCGTTGACCCAGCTTGCCTGTACAGCTCTTCCGGTTGCGGCGTAAATTTAGATGATGCCTGGCGGAAGAGCTGTACCATCTGCAGATATACAAGCCAGAAGCGTCACCCACTCACGATTGCCATCGTGCAGTGACTGCCTGTACTGCTTCTTGCTGTAGAGTGTCTTATCAAAGATTCTTTTGCTCCTTCCTGTTACTCCAATTGCAAAGCCCTTCTCATCCATATTGTACGTTTGCTCAGGCTCCAGCTTATACTCCGCCATCCTATCGTGCAGAAGCTTAAAGTATAAGCGGTACTTGTCACCAGAATCAGCCTTGTGGCGGCTGCCCTCCATAGGGGTTGTCCAGGCTGAAATAAGCGTATCTTTGTTGCGGCTAAGGAAGCGTGTAACCCAGCTATCGCCAGGCTCTTTTCCAAGTATTGGGGTTGCAAAATTCTTAATCATTTGTCTTGTAGGCATAAGGTGTCGCTCTGTGAGTCTTCTGATGTACTGCACAAGCTCTGCCTCGTCGCGTGGGTGCATGGCGCGCCGATTGAGTCCCTCGTCTGCTCGCGACGCATGAACGCCCTGATCTCTTCGCGACAGTGTAGAGCGCCACACCTTGTGTTTTTCAGCCAGCTTCGTGTACGAAATATCCTTATCTGAATCTGCTACGTCTAACTCTGCAAGGGCAGTTTCAACTGTGATTGTGGCGTTGAGTTATGGGGGCTGCAAAACTGAGATGGTATCATGGTGGGGTGCGCGCTGTCACCAAATGCGCCGAATCCGCGGAAACTGCGCCTGTAAGCTTGAGGCTGTAGAGCTACACACAATAGCTATTATCACGAGAATCTTTGGTGGAGTGCTCTATAAGCCTATGCGACAATATTCTTTTATATATAGTAATTGTATAGAGTTGCTGTTCTGCCGCTGCGGGTAGTGTGGGTGCGAAGCTGCTAAGGAGGCTCTTCAGCAACAACACGACTACGCGCAGGCTTATCCATTCACGATTACCGTCCTGCAGCATCTACTTAAACTGCTTCTTCTTAAATAGCCTCTTGCTAAAGATCCTCTTCTGTCTGCCAATAGCTCCAATCAGGAAGCCTTTCTCATCCATATTGTATGTGTGCTCTGGCTCCACTTCGTAGAAGTCGATCTTGCCGCCCAGGTGTTCAAAGTACACCTTGTACTTATCACCAGAATCAGCAACGTGGCGTTTACGGACCATACAAGTGCTCCACTGGGATGTAAGCTCATCTTGGTGTCGGTGGAGGAAGCGAGCAACCCAGCTTTCAGAGACAAGGTGTCCAGCAATATCAGACGCGTAATTCTGTACCATTTCTCTTGTGGGAGGTAGCTTACGCTCTGTCAACCTCTCTATATACTTTACAAGCTCTGCCTCCTGTTGTGGTTGTAGATTCCGCTGTGATATTGATATCTCTTCCCTAGAGCGTGTTTCGCGGCGGTGCCTGCGCGTCAACGTTGAGCGAATAACACCATGCTTGTCAGCTATTTTTTGCCATGGGATTTTGTCGCCAGGGTGTATAGAGTCACACTCTGCAAGCGCTTCTGTAATACCTGTCATTGTTGTTGTGCTATGATGATGGGACAAAGTAGCGCATATCAGGTTTCCGCGCATTTGGTGATGGCGCGCATTTGGTGCACGGACACGGTACTAGAAACGAGCTCCTTCGTAGAGTCGATCGCGGTA